GTGAGAATCTTTGTTTTCTTCATATTGAGCTTCAATCCATATTGAAGACTGCAGTCCTTGACCTTCTGCAGCAAGTGCTTCAGGTCCTCCTCAGTTTCAGGGAGCAGGGTTGTGTCATCTGCATAATGCAGGTTGTTGATGACTCTTCTACCAATCCTGATGCCACATCCCTCCTCGAACAGCCCAGCGTCTCGGATGATCTGTTCTGCATACAGACTGAAAAGGTATGGAGACAAAATACATCCCTGGCGGACCCCTTCTTGATTTTGAACCATCCAGTGTCTCCCTGCTCTGTTCTGATGACTGCCTCTTGGTCCAAGTATAGGCTTTGCATTAGCACAATCAAATGTTCTGGGATTCCCATTCTTCTCAAAGTCAGCCATAGCTTGTTGTGAGTATGATTAGATAGGAAAAAAAGATAACAAAGTTTTAAAAAAAGGTCTCTGTGATCTATTCCACCCTCCACTTCCCATCTCAGATTCTCACTGTAGTCATTTTCTAGCAGAGAATTTCAATCAAGTGTCAACTTCAGGCAGTGTTCAAGCACTCAACCAAAACCACAAAGTGAATTTGTAGCCCAATCACCCAAATTCATGACAATGAATAAGGATGAAAGAAGAATTTATGCCTTTGAGCTGTGGTATTGGAGAAGAGCACTGGGCATCCCATGGATGGCCAAGAGAACAAACATATGTCTTGGAGAACGTACAGCCTAAGTGCTCTTTGGAGGCAAGAAAGATGAGGCTTCATATACTGCTAGGAGGGGCTAGTCCTCAAAGAGGGACACGATGCTCAGAAAGGCAGAAGGCTGGTGAAGGAGAGTAGACCCTCAACCAAATGGACTGACACTTGCTGCAATGAGCTCTAATGTGCCAGAAAGTGTGAAGATGGCGCAGGATAGGATGAGGTTCAGACCCGTGGTTCACAGGATCACTCTGGGTCACACTCAACTTGATGGCACCTAACAACAAAAATCACCCAAAACCTTGGGGTAAGTCAATTCTAACTCAAAGTGACCCTCTATTAAAGTTCTGAGACTGTAAATCTGTTGGGAAGAAGACGAACCATCTTTTTCCAATATAGTGACTGGTGGATTTGAACTAACAATCTTATGATTAGCAAAATAACACATTACACACACTAGACCACCAAGGCTTCTTGAATTTGCAACAAGAAAGAATGGGTGGGAATTTTTCAGGTCCTGCTTTCTTTCTAAATTCTATTTTGAAAAAGACATTTTTTTCCTAAGCTATATTTATATACGTAGTGTTAGGAGTCAACCAATGTTAATGCTTTCAGATGACCAAATCAGTCTTCAGAGTATTCACTGGCCTACTTCTGATGATAATCTTTCTTTAAAAATGTAATTGCTTTGTAAAAAAAATAAGGCAAAACCAACAAAAATACAAAGTTTTCTTCTAAGCATTCCAAGAACTTTTTGTGTATATTCTTAGCTGTCCTATGAGTAGTTGGTTTATATGACATGGTTAGACAACTCTGTGGCAAAAGGTTTCTTTTTCTTTTTTTTTTTTTTTTTCATTTATAAAGTTGCTTTTATCGCTATATTCCTATTTTTTTTACTCTGTGATATTAATGTGAAATATTATCCAATAAGAACCTGAATTTTACTTTGCTGAAATGTTTGAACACACACATATATGCACATTTTGTTGTGTGCATGTGACACAATTCATAACAAGACGACAAAAGAGAAAAAATGTTTAATTAATCACCTCTCCCCAAAGAGAAAGAATGTGTGTCATGAAGAGTAGCTATTATATTCTATTGTTCAGAATGTAATAATTTCCCTAGAAAATTAAATGTCATGAATGCAGGTTTACTTCTCATTGGAGGCTGGCTCTGGCACATGAACATTTGCTTTCTCTATGGAGAAAATCTGTCAGAAGAAAGCCTTGGTACTCTACTTCCAAAACATCATACCCATTAAAAACCCCATGGAGCCACCAGTTCTATTCTGAAGCCCATGGCACTGAAACCATGAGTCAAAATCAACAAAAGGATGAATGGCTTCATTTTGGTGGGTATATGGAGAAAATCTGTACATTTATTTTGAGTTTATGGAGAAAATCTGTAGGTAGGTTATTGTGGAAGTAAGTCTGCCTGATGTTATTTGTAAAGTTGACAAGATAAAAAATCAGAACTAATGTCCAAACTACCTTCGCCAGGCAGATGAGGGTTCTCAGGAGTTGGAGGAGGTACTGTCCTCAGGGCAGAGTGAGGAAGGGCAGGCCAGGACAAACTAGCAGAAGGGAAGCAAAAGATGTCCCAGGAGGTGGTCCACCTTCCTCTGTGTCAGGGCATGTTAATGAGGATAAGCATGCTAGTCAGGAGTTCTCAAATCAATGGGTTGCTTGACTTTGCTCATAAGCCCACAAAATTTCCTCATACAATTATTTTTTCAACAGTGAGATAAGGCTTAATTTGCTTTCTTAGAGCCTCCCTTCAGGTATTTTAATGTGTAGATATTTCAGTCTGGCTTCATTTACATAATAATTGATTTTATTTATAACACATGGTAAACATGCAGGCTTCTATTATAAAAAAAAGACAGGTACCAAATAATTTTTCTTATATGAAATTTAGCATCTGTCTGAGCAGGAAGAGGAGAGACGATTAAGTTCCCTAAATCTGTAACTAGTAGTATACACTGATACTTTCTCAAAGTTCAGTGAAAATCAAACACACCATGAATTAGATGGTTAAGTCCTGAAAAGTCCATTTCATTTGTACAGGTAACATGACAACATTCACAAAACTGCCTAAGTGGTAAAAGATCAGAAAGGACTAAGGAAATAATTAACACTGCAAGCCAACCAAATTATAGCACAGTAAGATAACAACTTCCAACTCATTACTGTTTTCCAGATATAAGGATCAGGGAGGCAGTCTACTGCAGCAGAGAGCAGGAAAAAGCAGGATATGGTAAACTGAATTCTTGCCTTCCCACTCATGATTTGTGAGTCTTTACATTAAGTCCATTTTTGGTCCTCAAGCCATTTTCTAAAATTTCCACTGACTAGTAGAAGCTTGACCTTGAGCAAGTTTCTGAATTTCACTGAATTCCTCAGTTTTCTCAACTGTAAAATGAGAAGAAAAGCCACTTATTGCCTTTTAAGGCTTCAGTTGTTTTCTAAAATGGCACTTAATAAACACACCATAATCTTTTCAGAAAAGAAAAATAACTGTCAATTTCCTACTATCCTTCAGTCTCCATTTTATTTTAAAAGGTCATGATCAACTCCTCTGGCACCATAAATAACCAAAACAAGATAGTGGCAACCATTACACCCAATTAATGAGTTATTACATGTAAAATTTAAAAGACCATTACACAGAAGTTAAAGAACTGGTCTAAGAAAAAGCTCAGTGACATCTTTCTCCATACAAGAAAGACATACGAATGCTCTTTTATAAAAATGTAAGCCTAAAACCGTAATGGTAGGAGACTCTATCTTATCCGGTTCTTATGCGCTTGAATCAACTTAGTAGCACTCAATGAATTTTTCATTTTTCACGTTTTGGCTGGGCTTTTGTTGTTGTTGTTTGTTTTGGGTAAAATAAATGCTGAAAAGGTTATTAAAGAAGGGGCACCATGTTATTTTTCATAGGCAACACCAAAACAGCTGGAGGTAGTTACGTTACTAGTAATGCAGCTTTTAGAGTTATAAAGGCTATTTCCCACATGTCAAAAGTCCTAGAAAAATCTGCCATTACTGGTCCTAGAGAAAATTAGAACAAGACTTGAAGAAAGTAGAATTCATGCTCTAGTTGGAAGAGAAAAATGGCTGCTATCCACAAGCTCTGCGAAAGGGAACAAAAAATGGCTTCAAATACCCTCCTTGGAATGCCTTTCAGGAAGAGAACACGAAAGAATTGAGGCTTTTAGGTGTTTTCTGGGATAGATGAAGAATGAGGCTGATGTGCTGAAACTCTGGACTCAGGAACCTGAATCATGAATGTACATAACTAAGGTGCAGCGCACACTGTGAAGAGATCATGTACCAGAAGGAGGAACTTGTCAGCACCTACCTTGGTAGGGATTCGTGCTGTGAGAAGGAAGGCTCGGCATGACGTGAGCACCTGAAAGAGAAAAGCAAAAGCATGAGTCCAAGTTCCAAAAGGTGAGACACATGGGCTGTGATGTTACTGAGAGGGCTCCAGTCATGGTGAAGGCAAGTATGTGTCTCTTGAGGCCACATGCTTGGATCCTGCCATATTAAAAAGATACCAGCATAGCTTCTTTGTCCCTTCAAGTTAGTGTTCTCTTACTCTGATTCACTGTAAGGGGCCCTTCTACTGACTGAAGGGTTGGTGGTTTCACAAGAGAAAGGTGGGTCAATCTGACAGCCTTGGAAACCCTGTGAAGCAGGCTTATTCTGTCCTACAGGGTTTCTGTGTGTCAGAATCAACCTGATGGCATTGAGTTCAGAATCACTGTATTGAACAAATCACCTGTGTAATCTCAAGATGAGCCGGGAGCCAGCAGCCCAAAGGACCAACAGATTATTTCACTTGAGTAAGCAAGACAGTTCTCTAGGATATTAAAGCACATACATCTTCTATGCAGTCACGAATCCCACTATATCAACCACAAACTTAATGAAAAGTCCAGGCTCTCATTTATACTTTCCAAATTACAATCGCCACCCAAATTTGCCCTCTTGCTTTCAATTTTCTGCACACCTGTCAATGAGATTTCCATAATGCAGTGTCAGGAGTTGGGGGGGGGGGGGAATCCATTCTTCCAAAAGATCATCTCCCATTTTGCTCCTCTGCTGTGCCACTCACAGTCTTGTAGACACAGAAGTTACATGTTTAATTAGGATTAAACTTTACAGATCATAAATCAAGGCCATCACAGTCTCAACTTGTTAAAAGGTCCCAGAGCTCTACTCAAACTCCAGCCAGGGCTAAGGCTGCTGAAGTAGTAGCAGTGCACAGAAGGTGAATCAGTGTGGGTACCTGTCATCTGCTTTGTGCCTTGCTTTATAAGTGTCCCATGTGATAATGGAAATCTTATGAAAGACTACAGTCTGTCAGATCCAGAAAGAAACAAGAGATGTTCTATAAAACACTTCTTTAAATAATCATAGGTAACCACATCTGGGACTAACCATGAGAAAAATTACAAAGAAAAAAAGGAATTACCAGGCACTGGCTGTGAGAGTGTAACAATGAGTGAGATAGGGACGGGAGAGGGAAAATTACAGCTCATTTAAAGACTTTACACTCAAACTCAGCTCTTCCCTAGATCACTTTTTACTTGCTATCATTTTCTTGACTTGAAGGGAGTTCTGGTGGCATAATCCATAGGGAGCTGCACTGCTAATCCAAAGGCAGCACTTCTCTGTGGTTCAAATCCACCAGTAGTAGCTCCTTGAGAGAAAGATGAGCAGTCTCCTCCTGTCAGATTTACAGACTCAAAAAATCTCACTGGAAATTCAACTAGGAGTCATTCCAACTCAGCAGCAGTGAATTATGAGAGCAGACATGTTCTGAAAGACCATTAATAATGGTTCTCTTAATATGTAAACTCTGGTGGTCTACTGGTAAGGAGTTGCACTGCCAATCCAAAGGCAAGTGGTTCGAATCCCCTAGCTGCTGTTAAGGAGAAAGATGGGCAATCTCTTCCCATGTGATTTACTGCCTCTGAAAACCTTACTAGGGGTTCAGCTATGCATCAGTTCTGACTTAGAAGCACAAAACAACAACAATATATAAGCAAATTCTCTAGGTGGTTAAATGATTAAACCGCTCAGCAACTAACCTAAAAGTTGTAGATTTGGATCCACATAGAGGCATCTCAGAAGAAAAAGACTCAGAAACTTACTTCCTCCAAAAATGAGCCACAGAAAATCCTACAGAGCACAACTGTATTCTGACACACTGAGGATTATCATGTCTCAAAATCTTGACACACTTGATAACAACTGGTAGGTACGTAAAAAGTTAGCAATAGAAGACACCAATATTTTCCTGTGATCCATACTGTGAAGTAAATCACATCTTATTTCTCTAAGAAATATGTCTTTATTTTTATTAAGGCCATTGAGGACAGAAAAGGAAAAGGGTAAGCAACATAGAATGGAAAAGAGAAGAATGCACTGAGCTGCAATAAGTGAGGTCAGGGAGAGACCCTTTCTATGAAGATGGCACCAAAAGCAAAGAAGGAAGCCCCCACTCCTCCCAAAACTGAAGTCAAAGCAAAGGCAGTACAGGCCAAAAGGGCAGTCCTGAAGGGCATCCACAGCCACAAAGAAAAGATATGCATCCTCCATCTTCCAGCGGCCTAACAACTGAGACTCTGAAGGCAGTCCAAATACTCCTGGAAGAGCACCCCCAGGAGAAACAAGCTTGAGCACTATGCCATCACCAAATTTCCCCTCATCACTGAGTCAACCACAAAGAAAACAGAAAATAACAGCACATTTGTGTTCATTGTGGATGTCAAGACCAACGGGGACCAAATCAAACTGTAAAGAAGCTCTATGACATTGATGTGCCCAAGGTTAACACCTTGATCAGGACATCATGGAGAGAAAAAAAGCCTATGCTCAACTTGATCCTAACTATGATGCGTTAGATGTTGCCAACAAAACTGAGATCATCTAAAAACTGAGTTTAGTTGGCTAATTTTAAATACACATTTTTCTAACAAAAAAAAGGAAGTGAGAACATTTGAGTGTGTGGGCAACAAAACAAGTATATACTCAGCAGAAACAGAAGCAACTTTAAAATGTGCACATCCTTATTAAAAACTTAGAACCCCTGGGTAGGGCAATTAAGACACTCAATAGCAAACCGAAAGGCTTAGAGGTTCAAGGCACCAAAGGTACCTCAGTAGAAAGATGTGGGGATCTATTTTTAAAATATACAGTCCTGAACACTTTATGGAGGACACTTCTTTTCTGTCACACATGGGGTTGTCATGAGTCAAAAGGAACTGGATTTTCATGCTACTGCTGTTCCAAAGTCACTAAGAAGGTCAAGATGGTGGCAACAGAGTATTAAACCAAGTGCAGGACCCTTCTGAAGCCTTCTGGTCATGTGTGTATACACAGGTCTCATACCTATGAAGTCTTCCCTGAGTTGTAGCTACCATTAGCAAGCATTCTCTATGAGCCATGCATTAGATGACACTTGAATTCCACCATAATATTGCATGATAGTGTTTTATTATTCCTATTTTACAGATGAGTAAACTGAGATGGCATAATCTTTCCCTGGATCACACAAAATGGCAGAAACAGAACTCACATGCAGCTTTGCCTGTTAATCATTCCAAAGCCTACATTCTATTCTTAACCATAATGATACATCACTACTAATCCTGCCCCTGGTATCCTATTCACTGGCTGATTAGTTAGGGATAAGTTTCAAAAAAGTTTGTTGTCAGGACAGCACCAGCTCCTTGAAGAAGGACATCATGGTTCAGGGAAAGTACAAGGTCAAATGAGCAAGAGGAAATCCTCAATGAGATGGACTGACATGTGACTATAACAGTGGACTTGAACATGGAGGAGATGGTGAGGGCGGTGCAGGATCAGGCAGAGGTTTGATCTGCTGCACACAGAATCGTTACAAATAAGATCTGTTTTAATGACATCTAACAGCAACAGTAATAAGCAATCCTGTGCATTGTATGCTCCTCCCTAACAGACCAGTTAGAAATAAGGTATAAAAGGGTTAGTCTGGGAAAGTAACTGCAAAGCTTCCAGATCAGAGTATCTCCTCAACAATCCAACAGTTCCTTTCAAAGACTTTTCTTTTAAAATCCATGGACACCCCAGTGAGCTTAGCTCATCAGTCGACTGCACTAGCTGGGCCCCAGCTAAGACAGCAGTGCTCAGGGAATTAAGAGTTCACAGGCCTTTCAGGAAAGAGTAAAAGGTAACTGTGCTGTGCAAGACCCACAGGGCTTGAGGTGGGCATCTGGGAACCAGAGGCAGCATGAAAGCAATAAAGAGAATTTAGAAAGTGAGATAAAAGGGCAGCTGACTCAGGCTTAGCTGCTGCCGCCATTTGCATAGATCCAGGGAGCAGGTTAGCAATAACTGAATTATGAGACCAGACCTCTAACAAACACCACTTAATAATTGGTACATGGACCTCTTTGCAAATGAAAAAGAATATGCTTTCCCCGAAATATGTCACGTTTGGTAGGGTATTATGAGTCTTCTGGTCCATATCAGTCCTAATAAGTAATGCCTTTTTCAAACACTGCTTCTCCACCAGGGGAGGAGGAAAAGAGAAGGGGAAAGAACTTGGGCAATAAGGATCACAAGCATGGCTAACTCAAGTCACACTCCAAGTGTTGTTTGTTCCTTTTACTTATTCGTCTTTTCTCCCTTATAACCGTGCTTTGTATGCCCAAAACTTCAGCAGGTTTCTTGTTGCTGCCATGTGTCGTCTAGTCAACAATGGTGTATAGTGACTCTATGGCTCTGAATAATAGCTCTGAACCTTGCCCTATCTTGAACCAAACTTACTCTCTCCAACACACCTGATTCCATTTTCACAGCCACTGACAGGGTCAATTCATCTTGTCAATGATGTACCTCTCTTGCATTGGCCTTCTACCCCTCCAAGTATGATGTCCTTCTTCAAGGACTGGTCCCACCTGACAATATACCCAAAGTATGTGAGATAGAGTTTCACCTTCCTTGCTTCCAAAAAGCACCCTGGTTTCACTTTCTACAGAGCAGGCCTGTTTGTACTCTTCTCCAGCATCTTCCAAGGCATTCTTCTGTCCTCCTTTGTCATTATCCAACTTTCAGAAACATAGCAAACAATTGAGAGGACCATGCCTTGGGTCCAGGTGTATCTCAGTCTTTAGACTGACATCATTGCTCTTTGGCATTCTGGGGAAGTCCCTGAGAACAGATTTTTTTTTTCCCACTGCAATTCAGTTTTTTACTTCCTGATGGCTGCTGCCAAGGGTGTTGATTATAGATCCAAGCAAAATTAAATCGTTAATAACATCCATCCTCTTTCCATATAACATGATGCTGCCTACTGGCTAGGTGGTGAGGATTTTTGTTTCCTTAAGGTTAAGATACAATCCTTATTGAAGACTAGTC